TATTTTATCGTAACTTCAATAATTCTTTTAATAACAAAAATAATTAATAATAAATATTCTTAGAAATGTGGCGTTTTCAGTCTGAAGAACGGTGAAAATTATTAGGCTGTTGTTTTTAAAGCCGAAGAAAATGTGTAGTATTAGAATAATTTCAAAATAAGTTTTGATTTTTGGCTGTCAACAGTGGTTTTTAGAATTCACTATTCATGAATAACTTATGAATTTTATTGGTTGAAGGATTTTGAGGAGATAAATTTTGCTACAATTATATAAAATTATGATTCTATAAATTATATAATAATGGTATATAATTATTCGACTTGAAAATGGACAAAATTGTCCGAAACGTTGTCAAGAAATTTAAATGAATTCAAGCATTCATTCAAGGGTGAAATTATAGTATGAAAAAGTATTTTCCTGGATATTACAAATTTGATTATTAATATATAACCGTAGAGAATTTTGAAGATTTAATGAAAAAAAAAATAATAATAATAAAAATTCTCAGAAATGGGCCGTTTTCAGTCTGAAGAGCAAGAACGGTAAACATGTAAGTTTTAATAAGGTTTTAAATACTATCGAATGCCCATCTGCTTTCCACTTGAATCATAAAAAAGACAAATAGGTGGCCTACAAAAATATTAGCCGTTCGGATTCAAAATATTTTTTTTTACATATCATGGGTAGATGGTCCTATATTTTTGTAATCCATATTTTTTCTCGATACTTTGATCCAATTATCCTAAAACTCGAAAGAAAATGAGTATTCGTAAGTATTTAGTTTCTAATAAAGTTGTCATGTTTGCCGATATGCTGATAAACAACTTATCGTTTTTTTTACAAAAGTTTTGTAAATGAAAAATATTTGTAGGTTACGATAAAATGAAACTATTCATGAAGCTTTAGACGGGTGTTAATAATTTTATAAAAAGGTGTCTGTACAGCGGAATAATATTGCGAATTATTAAAAATATAATCCAGTTATTGAAAATGAATAAGTTACATTTAAACAACGTAAGGAATAAAATTGATTTTGAAAACATAAGTTTTACTGAAAATTAACTAGAATTTAATTCTCTCCACATTTTCAGAAGAAATATATATGTAATGGAAATAAGTCCCATAAAATACTATATTTTTTGCAATGAAATATTTTTTAAAATTTCTTTTTATATCTCTTTTTTCTGAATTGAATCATATTAATATTATACCATTTCTATCTAATAGGCACCCTTTCTAATATCGTAATAAATTTCCATCAAATGTTACTTTCATCTATCTCTTTTACTAAATTTATAAATGTCACAATGTGGTTTGATAAAAATTTTTTTAGACATCTTTCCATTAGCTTGATAATTTATTATAGATATTGCTGATAAAATAAAATAAAAAAATAGAAAAATGAAGATGGCTTGTTCTGGAATGCAACCCTTCAATTAATGCTTCATTAATAATCAATGTTTACTACATTACCTCAACCTCGTACCAAATGAATTTAATAATTTTTACTTACAAAAAAATTTATTTTGGTACCATCTCTCTCAAGAAAGAAGTTTTTTTATCCTTATACCTACTCATAAATGATTAATAATATCTATATTCTTATTTATGATTATAAAAATGATTGTTTTTCATTTTATTTTGCATTTCTGGCATGAGTATGAACATTCAACAAAATAACTTTTTGCCCTAACCTGAGTGAGGCAAAATATAAATCAATAGAACTTTTGGCTCAAAATTTCTTTATTTTAACCATGTCGGTATTTCTTTTCGATCATGGATTTGACTGTTAAGATTTTTCGATCCCTTAAATTCCTGCTTTCTAGCCCAGTCTACTATCCTACTTATCGAGTCCTCTTTATCTGCTACGTCGTTATTTATGTTATACGTTTCCCGATTTTCGAATTGTGGCATATCACTAAATTTTGTGATCACAACTTCACCGTTAGCTAAATGTTTTTTTTCTCTAACATTATTGTCCTTGCTTGTCTGTTGACTTTCAGGATCCTTCATGTTATCTTGTAATTTACGCGAAATGTCTGCTTTCCTTTTTTCTCTCGGTTCTGATCTTTCACAGAACGGACTGCCTTTAGGACTATTGATCTCGTTGAACAAATCAACGTTGTGCCGAGAATCTATCACTTCTGGCAACGCGTCTCCGGTAGCTTTTGCTTCTTCTATCTTGGACAGGATTTCGGCGTAACTGTAGTTGGAACAAGTTTGGAATAGTTTCCCTTCGTCATCTTGTCCATACGAAGGATCTACGTAGGGGTTATGGCGCCTGGGAACCATTTGAGAGAATTTGTCTCCGACATGTGAGAATGATTTCGGTACAGGCCCGGAATGAGTCGCTATGGAAACTGAATTGCTTGCTGGTCCCTGATGTTTCGTTCCACCCGATGGATTTGCTTCAGTCCTTTGAATTACTGGAATGATCCATATCCTAGTGAGATGACAACATGTTTAATAAATAAATTACAACAAATATAAAATAATGAAATTATTTAATATTCCCACAAAGCTCTATTTTTCCAACGGTTAAAACCTTTATATTGTAAAGCGAATTTGAGCAATTCAAATTATTCGATAACTCTAGTTGTATTAGCTTGTGCGCTGGTTGCATAAGATTGCAACATTAATTTATATGTCACATTGATTGTCCAACGTACATATCTTCTTAACAAAGAAGAGCATATTAAAATACAATTATTATGAACATACAACAAATACAATAAAATACCAAACTTTTTATGAAAACATAAAAATGTGTTTCATACGAGTGTTTCATTCCCAATATGAACCGTAATCATCATTGGGAATTTTTTCGGAAATACGAAAGACTATATTTTCTATTCGAATTGTTATATCAAAATCAATAAGTAAAAATAAAAATAAATTAAGGCATTTTTTATTTTTAAAACATATTTCCGACAACCTTTGATTATTATAATAGAGCTCGTTGGAGGACTAATAGAAGGTTGATCGGGGTACGTTTTGGAAAGAAAGAATAATTTATGATATGTGAAGAAAAAATAACTTAAATCGTACTATAATAATTTAACATGTTTGCAATAACGATGTTTTCAATTTTCATTGGAATAAAAGAAATGCAAGTATATTGAAAAAAAGTTCGGTGTCAGAAGAATATTTGATTAAGATTTTCACGCTCAGGCATAAGCGAACAAGCCAACTGGTTAGGATTAAAAGAGGGAATGTTTAGTTTAAGCTTGAATTAGAGGGTAATGATATGATAATAGCTATATCAAAATGTGCAGAGAGGTATGGGAAAATATTTGATGTACAAATCCATCTAACAAAGGGAGTTTTTTTTTAACCTTACTGGTCACTATTTTTCAAATTTAAATCTATGAGTTTGACGAGGTCGTCTTGTAAAAATTAATGACATAAATGCAAATTAATACTCGTTCAAATAAGCTTACTCTGGTTAGAAAAATTTGTTCCACTTAACATTAACCAGCCTTTCATATCCTTGTTGGCGTACGTAATGAGAAACACAACAATATTACACGGCTGCTTAGTTGTGTTGATTTAATAAATAACACAACAAACTCATCAATCAATAGATAAAGGTGTAAAAAAAAAAAAAATACATACTACAAGAAGTCACTAATTGCATTTTTGACATACGTTAACTTTCAAGTATATTTATGTGAAATTCGACTTGATTTTCAGCACAAACATACTGTAAGTTCATGAAAATGACATAAACCCTTTCAATTATTAAAAATAGTTACAACAAGTGCAAAATTTTCTAATTTCATAAAGGGAAAATTACTGATTATTTAAGCTTTTGAAATGTCGGTTAATTGCAATAAACCGATGACATGTTTTAAACTTAAGGCATCTAAAAAAATGGAACATATTTAGGTAGCATCTATTGATTTGATAATAATGTGAGTTATCTAGCTGTTGAATGGATTTTGGTACCGGATGATTTTCATTAACTAACTGTCTACATATCTAACCTAAATGATACCATGAGACAGAACGTTTTGGCTAATGGTCGTTGGCATAGTTAGGACTGTAATAATCTTAATTCTACTCACCATGAGCACTTCCAAAACAGCTTATACAGATTCAAATGTTTGCTAACCATAATCTGTTAGGTTAACATCTACGGTTATGTTTTTATTTATATTTTATCAACGACCTTAATCCTCGTGAACATATGATAGACTTACATATATGTAGATAATAAATTTCTGATTATCTACTTTTTTTTTTTAGCTTATCATTAAATTAAAGTTATTCCACTTTTGCTTCAATTTTGCAAATCAACAAAATACTCACACCCCAATATCTTGGTTTACTGTGCGAAAATTCCATACTGTCGGATTTGTCTGAAGTGAAAACTGCTTTAGGCGCGTTTTGCACTTTTTTATGCATTAGATTGGTTCTTCAGATTTCGCTGGGTGTTAACGCTTAATTGAGTCTAGTGTCGACTAATTGAAATGTTTTTACATAGAGATTAATATATCTCAGAAACTAAAAAATGGACCTGCATACTGTAAGCGAGGGAAATGTTCAGCTTCAGTTCAGAGGTTGTGTGTTCAGAGGGAAAAGTTCAGGGAAATAATACCTCTTTATAATGAGGTATTATACGTGAGTTCTCTGCCCTCTTATGCCGCGTAAAGCGGAGGGACTGCTTCCTTAAAGTGTACAGTGTGATGTTATGACTTTGCGGGACTATGACTTAGCATTGGTTAGGATTGGTATCTTATATATTTTCTTGTGTCCTGAGCAAGAACAACTAAACATGAAGGACAGATCCAGGAGAAATGGGGCTCCAGAAGAATGTGAGCACAACCACAACGGAATAAGATTAGGAACTCGACAAGGTCCAGTTTCGGTGTGAACCTCAAACCTATATTACAGTCACTTTTTCTATAGTCCCGGCTAAGGTGGTTTTGACATCTCTTTGGAATATCAAACCATTTTCTTGATATAGAGGCAAGTATTCAATGGAGAAAGTACGCAGCATGGTGGCGATCCTAGAATTACTCGTGAGACCAGAGAATCAAAGCTGGTAAAGAGTAACAGATTATATTGATGATGATAGAAACCAATGTTATATTTTTTATCTTATTAAAAAATGTAGGTGTTAAGTGTTGTATTAAGCAAATTACTGCGACTCTGTACCAAACAGACTTACTGAATCACATAATTAAATGTTGCTAATGTTTGATGGGATTAAGATTCGATGATCTTACATTATCCAAAAGCTATTTATAATTAATTATGAAATTATTTTTTTCCTTGCTTATTTAGATTTTTTATTTATTTATTTATTTTTTAATTTAATTATTTTTCATGTTCACTACGGATGCATGTAGTTTACGATTTAGGACTGTTCTGTACATTAACAATTGTTGACTCTTTTGAATTATTTACTGATTTTTTAGGTTACAATTACAACCTTCTTTATTTTTGGCAAGAACCAATTTAATAGATATAATAAACCCGTAGCTGTGTGCATTAACCTGGGAAACTCTGAATATGAATTAATGGATGGAAAAGTTGGACCTTCAAAATATTAGGATATTCTTCCCTATGTAATATCTCATATGTTTCGAAAACTATAGAGACTGAGTGGCACTGTTTGATATACTATGCCAATCCCTTCCAAGGCTGTCAGAGATATTGTCATAATAATTTTGCTTTAAGAGCTGGTGATAATTTATTGCTGTGGACTGTAAAATTAGAGAAGCTAATGGATTAAAAGAGTGAAGATGTAAAATTGATTGCTTTATTTTATACAATAACATTTAATTTTATACAGAGGTTAAATATAGGTGGGTTGGGATACTTGCATTTTCTCTTTTCTTCTAGTTGCCAGTCTTCTTGTTCATCTTCTCTCTCTTCCTTTTTTGGCCCCTTGCCGGCCGCTGTAGTTTTTTACTACATGTTTAGTAAATCAGTGGAATTACAAATTTTTAAACTGGCCAGTCTAGTAAATCTCTCACGCTACGTGAGCGTCTACGCTTCAGTAATGGCGGCGTCACAATAACAACTCAGGTATATATGCAGTATGCTCGAGATAACAGCTGTGTTGTGTTTACTTGATTTAACTTAAATTAAATTTAAATATGAAGTTTGATGTGTTCTCTAAACAGGCACTATAAGCCTCAGACAGTCTGGACTTCAGTGGAAAATCGGTCCATTCCAAGAGCTTTAGTATACATTTCCAGAAAGTCTCGAGACGTTCCAATCATTCATGAGGTTCAGAGTGAAGTGCTCTATTTGATCGGGATTGCGCTTAAAGATGAGGAAGATTCTAAAGAAATATGGAAAATTCGAATGAAATAAGGATTGAAAGTGGTTTTTTATTATTATTTGATTCATATAATGGATTACTTTTTATTGTTTGGAGGAGATTGGACTGAAAGGATTGGATGTGTTTGATGTTCAAGAAAATAATTGTTCCTCTTAGTTCAAGCACAGTTGTTCTGGTTTCAGAACAGTTTTTAAATAGCAGTTTGACATTAATTGGAAGGTGATTTGTCGGTTGTGTATGAATTAAGTTTATAGGAGAGAGATAGAGAGAGTATACATAAAGCACGATTCTGAAAATGCATCAATACCTTGTTATTAGACAAGATCTAATATGCTGAATACGTTCAGAAAAGAAATTGGCGATCTGATTATTTTTGGGCTCATATTGTTTAAAAAAATTCATGGAATTTCACTGATTAATATGATTCATCGAATTCGCAATAAATTGAGTTGTTTGCTCAAGAACCTATTTCATACCTGCTAACATATTTTTTTTTATAATATATATTTTTCCCATCACTAGATCTATACTTTTCAAATTCAATTTAATTTTTTTAATTATTTCTATAAAATTTGAAAATGTATAGTGAAGAAGTCATACCATTGAGGTAAGTTTTCTTCTCTCTCCTTCGTTGGCAGAATCGTAAAACAGTTCCAAGTTAAAATTTAATTTCAAAGTTAAAGTTCCAATTAGGTGTTCCTGAAGGTAAAATTTCCATCTTTTAGAGAAGATATATCTGGATAGTTAATACTTATGAGGAAGGTGTTAGATTAGAACTGGTTTACTAATGCAATTTGAATACATGATAGCATTCATCATAAATTATTTAGACAAATTAATAAAAAATAAAATTTTAAACTATATAGTTTTCAAGTGGCAATATGGGGCACATTTGAGATAACTCGGTTTTATATAATATATTCCAGCGGTAAAATGATTTATATACAATGAAAATGAGTGATTAAAAATATTAACAATACTTTATTTTGCCATTATTGTAACTAAGTGAATTATTCGTATTTTAATAGCTGTTGAGTGTATGCTTTTAAAGGTAGTTTAATTCCCTACAAAACTATATAAAAATCGTTCATTTCGGACAACTATTAGCGAAGTTACAGTTATTCAATTTCTAATGTAAGATTACGGGTACATATCCTGGTGTCAAAAAGGGACGAATGAGAGAAAAAATATAACTTAGTGAAAGTAAGAAAATCTGTTGCCTGCATCACACAAGCTTCACTATTACCTCTACTTAATGTTTGACAAAATTAGGATATGCCAAAAAGTTTTTGATTAATAATATTAGAGGCTATTGAAATTTTTACAATGATCTACCTTAAGCCGGTTTATATTGCTTTAGTTTATCAAATAAATCGTACTCAAATCTGTTCTTTGGTCAATTTTCAGGAAGATAAATCTAATTAATTTTTTTTTGTTTCTTGATGACCTATGTAAAAATATAAAAACTTTTCTGAAATAGGTAGGAAAGTCGTGTGAGTGGACACACCAGATTTTTTAGAGTAGAATTTGATTTTTAGGCTTTTTTACCTACATACTACCATTTACAGTTAATAAGTTAATTGGTAATATGATTGCTCCGTTTTACAAGCTACAGAAATAGAAATATGTAGAGTAGGTATATTTTATACAGTAAATACAAATAAACGCCGTTCATGGGACCCCAACTCGCCTTAAAAAACGGATATCCAGAAATGTAGCAATTTCGCTATATTTGTTGTTCTATTACGTGATAGCAACTTTCTTAAATCAAATTTTATTTTTTTAATTGAATACACTATTGCTAAATAAGGAGAATAATCTATGTCATATATTTCCAGGTTCAAGTGGTCTAAAGTGGCTCTAGTCTACGAGAGAAACGGACTCACAAACGTTTCTGGAAAATTCACATCCAAATTGATGATGGAGACCCTAGTCGAGTTCTTAAAGATTAAGGGTATCAACTACCGAGCTTACGACTTGGAGAAGAACAACCTTTCGTTTGCCGAGAACTTAAAGAGGGAAATAGGAAACGAGTACGCAAGTAAGTGGCAGGTGACTGTTCATGTCTTCGTGTTCCTTGCATGCAGCTTGAGAGTGCCAATAATAACGTGTTTTGTCTGTCTCAAATGTGCTATTAATTGTTACATAACAAATTACTTTTGTTTGGTTTTATTAGGGAAATAACTTGTATATGAATTAATGTTTTTTATTTTAAATATCACCTACGTTATCTAATACTATGTTAAATTAGGTTGACCCAATGTATACTTAATGATGTTTTGGAGTCGGATGGTTGAAGTATCGCATTACATGTGGCAGATGAGGTGACATGTTAACTTTAGTGACGTGTAAACGTCATACCCAGCTAGGCACCACTATCAAACCACTTTATAGATACCGATACCAATGTTTGTGTAGGGTAAACATTTGAGGCCATGGCTAATGAAATGCCTTGGTACCCTATATTGCCTTCTTCATATCCGATTCTTCGTTTCAGTTATGCATTAAGTGTTACTGAAAATAACCAGTTGAGGAGAAAACATTCATTAAACGTATTTTGAGTAGAATTATATTGAAAAAATAAATAATAAAAAAATATATACATATACAATCTGAAGGATCCTTTAATCCGTGTTGTGATCACACATACTTAGCCCCATCCAGAAAACTTTGTGAACTTTCGAATGAAGTATTTGAATGAGGTTCTGATTGCGGGCGCGTCTTTGATATTACAGAGTTCATTTTCGCTTTCGCAAACACGACCTCATTCCTGTTTGCATAAACTTCTTCTTTGAACTCTTTAATCTTCTTAAAGTTTTGCTTTCCTTTTTCTTCTAGAAAACCGTATCAGAAGTTGTAAATAAATAGGACGATAAATTCTAAGAATTTCCCTCAAAAAAGTGTTAGATCCATAGAAGTGTTAAAACTGCAATAGACCTGTAAATATCATCATTGTCCTGATGGGATGAAATAAATAATTAATTTTTAAGTTTATCTTATTCTTTCAAACTATACAATCAGTTAGGCTAACCAGTTATTAATATATTATTCAATAAGTATTGTAATGAGAAATAATTTGAAAGCGAAGATGATTTTCAATTAAGGTAATATTTATATGTTTATTAATATGAGAATTAAGTTGCAGTTGCATAAACCCCTAGGCTCCTTCTACCAGATTTAGAAGAACTCCTAATTTCTGGAAACTGACTGGATACTAAAAAGCTACTGGAAAAGAAAGCACCACGGTAAGACCAATCAGAAATAAATTTATAGAAATTTTAAACATATTTTTACAAGTAAATATATACAAATTACCGCATTAATTAATCTTTCTTCATATTGAAATTTTAAGGTATGTTATTGTACAAAACACAATGTATGTAAATATTCGAGTTGTCGAGTACTGTAAACCTGAGTGAAAATTGAGAAATTTATGTATTTTTGTAGTCTTGGATCTGATTAGGGATTAGAAAAGCCTTCTAGGGCTTCTATGAATCAGTATTTCCTTCGTTGGTTTGATAGATAGAATTGGCGTTTCAGAGAAAATGCACTAATATTGGTGTATAACCATTTTTATTTCAATTCCACGATATCGGTAAAAGATTTTTGAGTAATTGTGTCTGAAAATTCCATAATTCAAACAATAGGAAATAACGACAGGAAATTACTCAAACGGCACACACATACAAACCGATCAAAAACATACTCCTAAACTCAGAATTGTTCTCTTAATTTATTATGACTTAACGACTAAACCATTGACAAATAAACAGTAATAAATCCTTACACACCAATTAATTATTTCCAATTGTTTATATAGAATGTTTTCTTATGTTTATGTTTTACTTACTTTACCGAGTGTAATTTTGTTTCCTAATATCATTTTATATCTTATTTAGGAAGTTTTTTCTTATTGTACAAAGTAGGTTTCTGACCAATAAATAGCAATCACATTATTATTATAAGATATGTAAGGTAATTGAATTCTTGCACATGTCCCTGTGCAGTTGTATCCTAGCAAAACGGTCCTTCCTCGGTCAACAGAAAGGTCAAGCAAGAAGAATTATATTTGTATATTGTATACTTATATATTGTGATTTGTTTTAAAGTACAATAAAGGAGGATTAAATTATTTTTTATTTATTCATGAAATTTACACTGTATAAATTAAATATACATCTAGTAAATGTGTACAGAGAGATACAATAACATGAAAAAAATTGTAGAGAAACTAACCATTGGTAGCACTCTTATTGAAAAAATAAATAAATATCCTTACACATGTTATAATAAATAATTATTATTATTAGGACTTAATGTATTGAAAATATGTAAATAAAAAGTATTCAAGAAAAAGAATGTGAAATGTTGAGTCCATGTTTTTTTCTTTAAGGAGTTTCGGATATATTGTAGTGTGCACTGATATCTGCTAATTACTGACAGTAAAGAAAATGCTCGATCAACTTCTGATAAAAAATTTTTGATGATTAAATTTGTATGATTAAATCTGGCCTGTTAATCTGAATTAATACTATGTATTTTTGGGTATTTCAATATTATATAAATCAATATAATATATAAATCAATATTACAAAAATCAAAAACTGCCTCTGGGAAATGAAGGAGTCGTCGGACAGAGACATCGTCCTCGCATGGGTACCCTCACATTGTGGCATATCTGGGAACGAAGCTGCAGACAGAGCTGCGAACCTGGCTAGAAGAAAAACTAATGGAACCACAATGATCAATTTAACGACCACTGCTGACTGGAGATTGGAATGCAAAAAAATCCTAAATGAAAAATGACAATTCAAGTGGAACCAATCTACGAATAAATTGCATGAAATTAAAAAAGATACCAAACCGTGGACGACCTCTTTCAGAAAGAACAGGAAAGAAGAAACAATTTTAACTCGGCTTAGAATTGGACATGCAGCCTTTACCCATGGCTACCTAATGAGAGGCCTGGAACCACCATTTTGTAAAACATGCAACACATCACTTACACTGAAACACATTGTAACAACTTGCAGACTATACTCTGACACCAGAACAAAACATAATATACCTTCCAACATATCTGAAGCACTTTCAGATGACGAAGAAAAGATACAAAAAGTGTTTGAATTTATAAAAGACATTAAATTTGAACTCCTAATTTGATTACATCTAAAGCCGCTAATGACCCGATCGGGTAGATGCGGAATGTAACAATAAATGATAAATATTATATAAATATTCAAGAAAAGAGCTATAATCCGTTTCAAAGTTTTGATATACCTTGTTTCTTTTACAGAAAGAACAAATTACCCAATCTTAGATTTATTTATTTTATCACAAGGAAAAATTATTAGTCAGGAATGGCATGGTATATTTTGGAAATGTTGTTCAAAACGAGAAACGCAGGCCATGGGACGTATTAAGCCAATTCTGTTTGTGGACGCAACAACAGGATTCCCAAACAAAGACAAACTTTAGCTATTGTCTCCTTAATGAGAACAAGGGGAGGCGTCAGATCGGGGGACCTTTCTCGATTTATCATGGTTATCAATTATCAACCAATTCAATTTCTTTACATGACCTACTTTGCAATATTTAGCCACTCGACTAAAGGACCTATTAATTCCTGATTTCCTTATCTAGGCAATCTACCAATGGTTATTAATCAAACATTAATTTCATTGGCAAATATTTAAAATGGTGGAGGAATAATTGATTATGAATTATATGGTAGGAAATTTAGTTGGGATTTACAGTTATAGTAAGAAACATAAATACAATTTTTTTTATTCTTTATTTTGTACCAACATATCGCCTTTATATCAGGATTAAAAAAACAACAAGATCATAACCAAAAACAAAAATTATTATAAAAAGATATGGAAATAAATATTTGTTATCTACCAATAAATAAATTATAAAAAATCTAATAATTCTAAGAAATTCCAAAAACTAGCAGACAACATAATTTTATTGTTAGATATTTAAAATAATGGAGAAATAGTTGATTGTGAATAATATGGTAAGAAAGATCGTTAAGGTTTACAGGCATAGTGAAACACAAAGAAATTTTTAAAAATTTTATTTTGGCCGAAGTTCAACGCCTTCACCATGGTTAAAAACACAAGATATCAACCAAACATAAATGAAAAATTTGTTATCTGCTATAAAGATATGAAAAATATGTTATTTCTTAGAATTATTAGAATTCTAAGATATGATCTTATGAAGATCTGATCATATCTTTTAATAGCAATTTTTGTTTGGCTATTATCTTTTTTTTCAACCATGATGAAGGCGCGAAACTTCGACCGAAATGTCAGTACAAAATAAAATTACAAAAAAAAATATTAATGTTTCTCACTATGACTGCACACCCCAACTAAATTTCTTACCATATTATTCACAATCAACTATTTCTTCTCCATTTTAAATATTTACCAATGAAATTATGTTATCAACTAGTTTTTGAAAATTCTTAGAATTCATATAATTTATTTATTGTATATAAATTTTGTTTTCAAATCCTTTTACAATATGTTTGTAATAATTTTGGTTTGGTTGTTATCTAGTGTTCCCCTGTTATTTCGTAATGCTCTTCCTCACCTCTAATAAATAAAACTTTGAAACTTAAAATGAATGGTCAAAACAATTTTTTTTTATTTGGTTCAAGGCTCATAATTGAAAATAGTATAAAAAAAAAATCAAGAATGAAATATATCTGACATAAAATATATCTGTGTAACGATTGATTCTTTAAACATAACATCATTCAGTAAAAAAAAATAGTTTAACATTCTAACAATAGTTACTGAAAATACTGTTCATGGTTAATAGTCATAATAATATACAGGATTAATTTCTAATACAGAAATTTGTTATTATTTTTCTAAAAATTATATCTGGCCTTCCTTTACCTAATTAATAATAGTTTGTTATCCTTACATTTTTGTGAGATTAAAAATGATTTTTTTTTTTTAAAATAATATTAATTGCTTAAATTTAAATTAAATTAAATTATCTTTTTATATGAGTTCTTTTTTATCTTAAATTTTGATACCCTTTTATTTGACAGTTGTCGAAGAAAATACACTGTTTACAATAGAATCTATTAAAGTAGAATACAAATAGCGGTCTCTTTTTTCGTTCTGTTCACAACAATTATTGAGGGATACGGCTGTTCTGTCGAAGATAATAAAGAAAATCCTCCCTTCCATTATGCCTAAAGATTTTATTTTTAAACAAATAGTAAAGTAAAATATACAAAACTGATCCCCATAAAAAAATAATTTAAAAAAATATTAAAGGTAGTATCCTAGGTCCTATCCTTTACACAGTTTATACAGCTGAAATCCCAACCCAATCCAACACTGTCATCTCCAGCTATGCCGATGACACGTGTATCCTATCAGTTAATAACGATCCATCTATTGCATCCCAAACTCCTCAATCACACATCACAAGCCTTGAAAAATAGTGTCGAAACTGGAGGATTAAAATAAATTCCAATAAATCCCATCAAATTACCTTCACTCATCGTCGTAAACCTATGACTTCCTGTCCTACAGCATCCTTCAACAATAGCTCTCTTATCCCTGTCGAACAAATCCGATACTTAGGACACCACCTTGACAAACGACTCACTTGGAACCCCCATACCAGACTGAAACGACTAGAAACCGCCCGACGTTTTCGACTACTGCAGCACTTACTAGACAAACGATCTAAGCTTTCAATCAATTATAAACGACTCATATATATATGACAATAATAAGACCTATTTGGACTTACAGAATTGAGCTTTGGGGCTCCACTAAACCATCGAATTCCTCTCGTATCCAATCCTTACAATCCAAAATCCTTCGTAAAATCCTCAACGCTCCTTACTTTGTCACAAATAAAATCATCCATAAAGACCTTAACGTTCCATATGTTTCCGATTTGGCCCAATCCAGATACCTGTCCTTCCATAACAAACTGCAGAACCATCGGAATCCTCTCGTTTCAAACCTTGATTCCTCTCGATCCCTTGATAACCCTCCGAGGCGTCTGAAAAGATGGCCTCGGGATCTTCTAATATAGAACTTTAATTTGAGTTCTACCAATGGGTAGTTTCTCTTCATGTTGTACATGTCATGTTACCAATTTCACATTTACTTATTGTATTTTCTATGTAATACAGTTGTAAATTCCATTAAAATAATACAAAAAAAAAAAAAATTATCTGACATATTGTATTGTATCTTTGTATCTTCCTTAGAATAATTATTCAGATTGCACATCATTAATCTCAGGAATTAATATTTATAAAACTTGTTTATTTTCACTGTTTTTAAAAGCATTAAATGGAAAATTTTGAATGCACTACATCTCTGAATATTTTATCCGTAACCAGAGTAGGACTTTTCATTAAAAACCAATTCTGCAAATTTGATTTTCACTTGGAAAAGAAAATGGAAAACATACTATTACTGAGTATAAATACTTGCCGTACATAATTATGAATCATATTTCTAATAGAATGTAACCATTAATTTTCCCAAAATAACTATATACATATATTAACCGCTATTGCATATTAGTAATTTGAGCTTTGCGTTTTACTTCACGAGAGTTTTGCTGAATTAAAGAATTTAATATTCCATATTTCCTTTTAGTTCTAATCACAAAATAAAAACATTTTTCCAAAGGTGGAAAACTGGAAAATTACAGGAGGTGTGAGGTCGAAGTCATTCATTTTGGTAGATCAAAGAGGTTATTTTCTTCCGTATTAAGTGTAATTTGATAAACCTGTGACGTCAACTTAAGATGGCTGCTTCCGAAGCTAATCTTCTCTCATGTTGGTGGCTAAACAAAAGGAAATGAGTTTATTTACTACTTATCACGTATGTAACATATGTTATCTGAATTTATGGTTTCGAATAGAAATCTACTCAAGTAGGAATATTTAATTATTGAAATCCAAAAATATGGAGCAAAGATATTGAACTAAATTAATAATTGTTGTCTTTTATTTTTCTCGTACGTAAACACTGCTTGAAATATTTTTAGCAGCGCATATTTTCACATTTTATGCCTCAATATTATGATGAAATAGTTTCTAAACAACGCCACAATTCGATGCATTAAATATTTTTAGTTTGCATGCGTTAAAAAAAAAATTAGATATTTCGTTTAGCTCCTATAAAACATTTAGTTTTCTGTCAAGTTATATAACTGACTAATCATTAGTTTTTTCACACTCTTCACTATGTCCTACGAATTTAAATATTTATAATGATGTAGAGATGGTTGACCGTTGATATAATATGATTTTCAATACAAAGTTTCTTAAATTTTCTTAAAATGTATTTGTGATAAAATTTACTATGATTTATAAAAAAAAAAGAAAGTGATTCGACAATATTCAAGAACTTATTTTGCTTATAACCATGCTCCTATCACTTTCTTTGATATTACCACTTTTAAGATAAAGTTAAACTTAGGTGATTTCATTTGTGGATGGATGGAAAAAAAAGTAATAAATTGAAAGCCTTCATTCAATAGAGATATTTTTTATATTGAGTCCTTATGTTTTTTCAGTCGTCTCTATATATTTTTTTTTTTTTTTTTTTTTTTTTTTTATTATTATTTCAATGGAATTTACAACTGTATTACATAGAGAATACAATAAGTAAATGAGAAATTTGTAACATGGCATGTACAACATGAAGAGAAACTACCCATTGGTAGAACTCAAATTAAAGTTCTATATTAGAAGATCCCGAGGCCATCTTCTTTTCAGACGCCTCGGAGGGTTATCAGGGATCGAGGAGGAAGCAAGGTTTGAAACGAGAGGATTCGGATGATTCTGCAGTTTGTTATGGAAGGAAAGGTATCTGGATTGGGCCAGATCGGAAACATATGGAACATTAAGGTCTTTATGGATGATTTTATTTGTGACAAAGTAAGGAGCGTTGAGGATTTTACGAAGGATTTTGGATTGTAAGGATTGGATACGAGAGGAATTCGATGGTTTAGTGGAGCCCCAAAGCTCAATTCCGTAAGTCCAAATAGGTCTTATTATTGTCATATATACGAGTCGTTTATAATTGATTGAAAGCTTAGATCGTTTGTCTAGTAAGTGCTGCAGTAGTCGAAAACGTCGGGCGGTTTCTAGTCGTTTCAGTCTGGTATGGGGGTTCCAAGTGAGTCGTTTGTCAAGGTGGAGTCCTAAGTAGCGGATTTGCTCAACAGGAATAAGTGGAGTATTATTGAAGGATACTGTAGGACAAGAGGTCATAGGTTTACGACGGAGGGTAAAAGTGATTTGATGGGATT